TTTTTTCCCCCTTTTTCTTTCTTTTTTTTACTGACTGTTCACTTGCCTTTAATCATGTTTGAACTTTCTCAGACTATAGTTTTTGCTGTGGTATATGAAGAAGTACTTAAAGTGTATGGAAAGCAAAGTTACAATGATATAAAATGAGTGTCATTCATTTTTTTGTCAGTCACATTGATGTTAAAATTACATTTTCTGATTTGTGACATTGCTTTTTATGTACTGCTAAAACACTGCTGGTCATTTTCAGAAGTTGTAGTGATTCTTTCTTTTCCAAGAAAGAGTGTGAAACAAATTGGTTATATAATTTTCATTTTTTAATATTTTAAAATATAATTTAAATAGATTTTTCACACTTTAAGCAATATCGTATCGCATATCGAATATCGCATTTTTAACCAAGGTATCGCGTATCGCATTTCTTTTCAATATCGCACAGCCCTAGTGCAAACATTTGTTCACGTCTTTTTTTAGTAGAAACTTTTTTAGGTTTTTATTGCTCTGTTGGTTTAGACCTTCTGTGGAAGATAAGCTGCAAAGGAAGTCAGAAACATTAAAAAAATTAATAAAACAACAGTCCACAAAACTTTAAAACAGGGTTATTTGCTCATTTTTTATGATTTTTTCAAATTTAAATCCTAAATAGTGGTGTCAAAGTTACATTTGATGTATTTATTATTATTTATTACAGAATTTTTAATCATGTTAAATTAAATTATGCTAATTGAATAATGGCTTTGTTTTTGCATTATGACAATAAAAATAACTATTTTTACACTGTTTTGGTTTGTTGAAACCTGTTTAACAACTGCAGAGATATTATTATTATTTATTACTATAAACTTTAAATTGATTTGCTGATGACAAAATCTAGTTGAAATCGAAGTAGAAATTAAATTAGCAGTTGTTTTTGCATTATGGCGATGAAAATAAATATTTTTACAGTTTATGCTGGTTTGTGGAAACTTGTTTGACAACAACAGACATTATTATTTTTTATCCACTTTAAATTACTTTGGCAGAAAATCAAGTTGCAAAGTAGAAATGAAATGATTAGAGGTTATTGGATTGCGACAATGAAAAATAACGATTTTTACTATGTTTACTGGTTTGTGGAAACATCAACTACAGAAATATTATGTATTATTATTTATTACGAAACTTTTGAATTGCTAATGAAAAATCTAGTTAAAATCAAAGTAGAAATTAAATTATTAGTTGTTTTGGGATTGTGACAATGAAAAAGAAATATTTTTAGAATCTGTGCTGGTTTGTGGAAACCTGTTTGACAACTGTTGAGATATTATTTATTATAATTTATTACTGAACTACTTTAAATTACAGGTTCAGAAAATAGAGTTGAAAGTGAAGTAGAAATGAAATTATTGGTTGTAATTGAATTGTGCCAATGAAAAGAAAGTTTTTACTGTATATGTTTGTGGAAACCTGTTTGACTACTACAGAGATATTATTTATTATTATTTATTACTGAACATTTTTAGCAGCTTGAAATTGAATTAATGATGACTTTGTTGTTGTGTGGCATTTTATTACAGCTTTATTACTATTGTTAATCGCTAACCTTTTTTGGTTGAATTATCATTAAAAAAGCTTGATAAAATAAATCTGAAATCAAAGTTAAAATTTAATTATTAGTTGTTTTGTATTATGAGAATGAAAAGAGAGATTTTTCCAGTTTATGCTGATTTGTGGAAGCATTACAGATTAGTTATTTATAATTAATCGCGATTAATCGCATCCGAAATAACAGTTTTTGTTTACATTATATATGTATGTGTACTGTGTATTTATTATGTATATATATAAACACACACACACACATACAGTATATATTTTGAAAATATTTACATGTTTATACATTTATATATTCATATTATTATGTTTTATATTATATATAAATATATTTAATATATAAACATAAAATATTTTTCTTAAATATATACATGCATGTGTTTGTATTTATATATACATAATAAATAAACACAGTATACACACATACATTATGTAAACAAAAACTTTTATTTCGGATGCGATTAATCGCGATTAATCACGATTAATCGTTTGACAGCACTACGTTATTTATTATTATTTATGACTTTTTCAGCAGCTGAATGCATACTGTGCAGCTTCTGACAGTCTGTGGTGTCTCTGCAGGCTCTAGCGATCACGAACGAGGCCAAGCGCTCGTCGACGGTGGGTGAGGTGGTGAACCTGATGTCTGTGGATGCCCAGCGCTTCATGGATCTCACCACTTTCCTGAACATGCTGTGGTCAGCACCGCTGCAGATCATCCTGGCGCTCTTCTTCCTCTGGCAGGTACAGCGCTACACATTTCAATACATTTACACGCTTCCTCTACCTTCTGTTGTTCAAACGATAATCATATTCATACAGAATGTGTGGCAGGTTTTGTTCTTAAAAGAGATGGTGAATGCAAATCTTAAATGCTTTTGGCCATACAATCATGCATAGTTATTAGTGAAATAAATAGGCTTGACGGCTTTTAAAAGAGATTATTATTATTTTTTTATTTTTTTTTACATTAAGGTATGTATGTAAGATAACATGTCTTAAAAACCATGAACAAAACTGTAAAGAAAAGTCAAAGAACGGTTTGTGTTGAGTTATTGATTTCCGAGAACCATCGAAATTCAAGACATTTAGTTTAAAATGGTCAATTTTCTTGTTAATAATATTGTTGATCAGGGTTATTATCATTAATGAAACCTAATTTAAAACCATAAAAAAAAATATCTTTGCTGTTTGAAATTAAATTAATTAATTGAAATAAAATACTGAAACTGCTAAATGTTTTAATTGTTTTAACTTGAAGTACTAGAATAACTCAAACAAAACAAAAAAAAAATCATAAATAAAATAATTGTCAATAATAATAATTATTAATAAATTAATCATTTTTAAATTAATAAATAAATTAATAAAAGTATAGAGACATTAAAATAAAAACTAATGAAAATGACAAAAACAACTAAATTACTATAATTTTAGCTAAAATGAAAGCGAAAATAAAATGATAAAAAATTAATAAAAACATTGTTTTTACTTGTAATAAAATAAACATGAATTGAAATAAAGTATATTTCACTTATTTCATTTAGTAGCCAATGCAAAGGCAACATTTCTCATTTTCTTTTAGTTTAAATTGAAGTACTAAAATAACTAAAACTAAAGAAAAATTCATAAATAAATCAATTGTTAATATTAATAATTATAAATAATTTAAACATTCTTAATACAATTTAATGTATTAATACATTAAAAAATTTAATTAATAAAAAAAATATAGAGACATTTAAAAAACGAATGAAAATGACAAAAACACAACAAATTACTAAAACTGAGCTCAAATTAAGATGAAAATAAAATAATCAAAAATTAAATGATCTTTAACTGAGCCTAATCTAAAACCATAAAAAATAATAATTTTAATACATTTTAATTACTTAATGAAAATTAATTAATTAATTAATGACAAAAACTCTTTAGCTAAAATGAAAGTGAAAATTAATTAATTCAAAAATAAATCAAATTTAAAATAGAAGCAAATATGATAGTTATTGTGTTGGGTCACTACTTGATGTCCAGGATCAAATCTGGGGACTGAAGAGACGTCTGACAGAAACGCAGAAGTGTGAGCTCTTCGTTCTGAGAGTTTTCTGTCTTGTGTTCAGAATCTGGGTCCGTCGGTTCTGGCCGGTGTGGCGCTGATGGTTCTGCTGATCCCATTCAACGCTTTCATCGCCATGAAGACCAGAACTTACCAGGTTTGGCTCTCTTCTCTTCTCTTCATTAGCATTGAGTTATCGTGCTTATCCATGTTTTCACAGCTTATGCTTATCAGACTTTCACATTTAGGTGAAGTTTCTAGCGAGCCGTCGTTTCCTCTTAAAGAGACAGATCGCAAATTAAACTGGAAACAAAACACCATGTGTGAAGTCATTTCTGTCTGTACGCCACACCAGGCTTATTATAGTTCATTAAAAGTATAAAAAAAAACATGTTTGTGTTTTTTATACTGAAATAAAATAACATCAAAACTTGATAAGAATGGTCAATTTTCACATTTAGCCAATGCTGTCTTAATAGCTCAGCATATTGTTGGCGGTTTATGTTTATATTAATACATTTCAGTGTTTGAACACTAATATTTTGGTTACTTTAGTAAGCTGAACACAGTTATGGTCATGATTATTATTGTTAACTAAAACCATTTTAAAAAAACATTTGTGTTACTTTAAATAAAATAAAATATATAAAACACTTATTTTATTCTATCTAGTTGCCAAGGCATCATTTCTCATTTTTATTTAATTTATTTAATCTCATTTTTATCTGTTATTATCTATAGGATGTACTTAACTGAAACTAAAATGAACATTTATATAAAAAAATTTATATTAAAAAGAAAACTAATAAAAAATATTCCAGGTTAAAAAAACTTTAGAGCTACATCACACAGGATGCTGATTTTGGCAGAAAAGGAAATTAAATTAATTTAATTTAATTTAAAGCCCGTAACTTTTTTTGGTTAAAAATGATCCTAAATCAATATTTGAGCAGAAAATTCTTATTTGAGTCATGTATTCCAAGACGTGCTAGAATCTGTGATTGCGAAGTACAGTAAATATCCACACCGGTGCGGTGACTGACTGCCACACATAGAACCTCAAAACATTAGATTCATCCGCGATGGAGCCGAGCCGGAGCACAACCCACGCAAGCTAGATAATTCCGCACACAGCTGCAATTCCAGGTTTTCAAACAGAGATGGCGACAAAGAGGCAAAACTTACGGACTGCATCTTTAATGTAATTTAATTTGATTTGATTTGATTTGATTTGATTTGTATGAGACCACCATATATAATATAGATTTTTTTGGCAGCATTAGTGAGGCAACATTATTTTCACATTTAAATGACATGCAAGGCAACATTTCTCATTTTTATTCAGTTTCATTTGATGTACTTAACTAAAACTAAAATGAAAATGAATGCAATTTTACATGAAACATTTATAAAACCCAAAACTAATACAAATGACAGAAATGCACAACAAAAAGACTAAAACTTTAACTGAAATTAAAATGGACAATATAAAAATAAAATGTAATTTAAAATATGAGCAAAGCTCCTTGCATTGGTCGGCACAGGTGGAGCAGATGAAGCATAAGGACGACCGCATCAAGCTGATGAACGAGATTCTCAACGGTATAAAGGTGCTGAAGCTCTACGCCTGGGAAGTCTCCTTCAAGGAGAAGATCCTGCAGATCCGGCAGAAGGAGCTGACTGTGCTGCGTAAGACGGCGTATCTCAGCGCTCTCTCCACCATGGCCTGGACCAGCGCGCCCTTCATGGTACCTTACCGCTTTCTGTGCGGTTTCGTGTGTCTGATGCAAATGCAAAGTGCTTATCTTTGATATGCCTAATGATGCGGTAGATCCCTATCTAGGTGTCGAGTTGCCGGCTCATGTTTCAAAAGTGCATTAGCCGATGTGATTAATAAGTCTAGTTTGTGCACACCAAACACAGCCCTTTGTTTGAGTTTTTTAGCCCTGACTGAAGTGTAAATCTGTCATGATTGTGCTGTGATGTGCTTCAGGTGGCTCTGACCACGTTTGCGGTGTACGTGACTGTGGACGAGGAAAATGTCTTGGATGCAGAGAAGGCCTTTGTGTCTTTGTCTCTGTTCAACATCTTGAGGTTCCCGCTGAACATGCTTCCACAGGTCATCAGCAGCATCGTACAAGTGAGCCTCCGCTTCCTTAATATTACACAAATATTACAGGGAAAATCCAGCTTTAGAGATACATCACAGACGCTATTGATTACGGTGTAAAATTAATTGACATATACATATAGCCTATGTGACTACCAAAGTAAGGCAAAAATATTTTATGCCAGCATCTGTCACAGAGAGATAGAATTTAATTAAATTAAATTAAAAAGTTACATTAGATTAATATAATAACAATACAATAAATATATGTCATAAGTTGTCAAAAAGATTAAAGGTAAATAAAATAATATATATACTGTATGTATATACACACACATATACATATACATACAGGTGCATCTCAAAAAAATAGAAATACTGAAAAATTTGATACTGGATTTTTGACTTTCGTGAGCCGTAAGCTCTAATCATCAAAATTAAAACAAAAAAACTTTTGAAGTGTTTTACTTTACATGTAATGAATCTAGAATATATGAAAGTTTCACTTTTTGAAATAAGTAAAAAAAAAAAATTTACTTTTTCACGATATTCAAATTTTTTTAGATGCACCTGTGTATATATACTTTTTTTTTTAATGCAAATAGATATACAATTTACCAGTGACATATCAAATACAAAATAACCAAGGTCAACAAAACATGACAGCCAACATGATTTGTGTGAGTGAGTGTGTGTGTGCGTGTGCGTGTGTGTGTGTGCGTAGACAAGCAGAAAATAAATAAATTATTGTAAATTAAATTCAAAATATCTATAAATTGATCAGAAGTCCTGAAAATAATTAAATAATTTTCACTTTGAGAAAAAAATGATATATACATACATATATAAAAAAGTGAGACAAAATTTTTTATTTTCTGCTTTTCTGTCAGCATCTGTCATATAGAACTAAAGCAGAAAATAATTTTTCCTCGGTTTGAATACACTGATTGGGCTCAGTTCATATTCAGAAGTGACCTACTTTAGAGGGTTAGTCTATGTTTCAGATAATAGCATAATATTCCTGGAGTGAGATCAGCTTCATCGTGTTTTGTGCTCCTCCAGAATAAGCAGTCTGATTGTTTCTGTGTGTGATCGTTCGTCAGGCCAGCGTGTCTCTGAAACGCATCCAGGATTTCCTGAGTCACGATGAGCTCAATCCCGAGAGCGTGGACAGAAGAAATAACGCTTCAGGTAACGGAGCTGAGCTCTTGAAGAAAACCCGTCATGCTGAAACAATCAAACTCGACTCCAGTTTCTGCTCTCGAGTGCTGAGTCATGCTGAGTCGTTGTGAAATCTCTGCTGTCTGCAAGTTTCCTTTCCTCTAAAATGAGTCACGACTTTCTCTCTCGTCAGAATACGCCGTGAGTGTCGTAAACGGGACGTTCTCATGGGCCAAACAAGACCAAGCCACTCTTGACAAGTAAGACTCACAAAACACTGGCTGAAGGGTGAAGCCAAGTGTAATTTAAACAAAACAACCACTTTCATAGAGGCCTTTACTGCATTTCTATGCTGAATCTGTTTTAGATGCATGCAGAACATCATTTATAGTCTTCTGAAATACATAAGACTTATTTTTGGATCACTTATTCAGTATCAATATAAGAGGCATTTTAGCCTGACACTTTTCATGTTTCTAAGTGATTTTCACATACGTGTGGTTTCTAAATTTGATCCTTTAGAAAAAAGTGCAAACGTATTGATGTATCAACATTTCTGTGAAAACATTTGCATGCATCTTTTCACACGGATATGTGCGTTTGCACAGTTATTGAGAGACACATTGTTGTGTATCAAATAAAAAATAGAGCAAAAAGAATAATTAAAAAAATTAAAAGTTGCTTTCTCAAAGTGCTTTACAACAAATGCAAAACACAAGAAACAAGACAACACAAGATGTGAGGACAGAAGAATAAATTAAACTATAAAATAAGACAAAAAATATAACAAAAATAAATAAAATACATATAAAAACAAAATAAAATAAAAAATAAAACCACAACAATAAATAAAATAAAACATAAAATAAAAACAAAAACAATATAAATTAAAATATAAAATAAAATAAGAAAATAAAACGAAAATAAGCAAAATAAAATAGATTAAATACATTTTAAAAATAAAATAAAATAGATGATAAAAACTAACTGAATAAAATAAAATAAGAAAATAATACAAAAAACAACTAAATCAAATAGAATACAATAAATATAAAAAATTTTATTAAATAAAAGACAAAATAAAAAATGAAACAAAATAAATAAGATAAAACATAAAACAAAAAATACAAATAATAAAATGTAAAATAAATAAATAAATAACAGAATTAAACCAGTAGTCAAGTAAAAGCTATCCTTAAGTAAGATGTTTTAAGACAAGATTTAAAGCTGCCTCATGATTGTGCTTCCCTTAAAGGGGAAGTGATTGATTAATAGCAGTGCTGAGTAACCCGTGTGTTGTTTCGGCAGCATTAATGTGATGGTGCCGCAGGGCTCTCTGCTGGCGGTCGTGGGTCACGTGGGTTGTGGGAAGACGTCGCTCGTGTCCGCGCTGCTGGGAGAGATGGAGAAGCAGGAGGGTCAGATCTCTATACGGGTGTGTATTCGGCTCCAGATCAGTCTTTATCAGGGCAATGCTGTGTTTGACGCTCGTCTCCTCCTGTAGGGATCCGTGGCTTACGTACCGCAGCAGGCCTGGATCCAGAACGCCACGCTCAGAGACAACATCTTGTTCGGCAGACCGTATGTGGAGCAGAGGTACCGCTGCGTGCTGGAGGCCTGCGCTCTGACCCCTGACCTGGAAGTGCTTCCTGGAGGAGACCAGACTGAGATCGGAGAGAAGGTGCTGGATCTCAATGGCTGTGCATGACTTTTGAATAAGCTGGGCTGTCAGTTTAACATGTTCATTTAATACAGTTAATTATATTAAAATACATTTTATAATGTTTAATATTATTTAGTAATAATAAAAAAAAAAACACATTTAATCATGCCCTCTGACCCGTATATAAATTCTTTAATTGTTTTTTATTTATATATTTTAATTAAATTGTGCTGTATGGTAACTAGGGCTGTCAGTTCAATATGTTAATTTAATACAATTAATTATATAAAATGATAGTATTTAATATTTTATATATTTAAAAAACACATCTAAACATGACATACAAAGCATGTTTTGGCATGTGTGTGCAGTACATTAATCTGATTTTAATTGTTATATATGATTTTTTTTAAATATAGCCATAAAATAATGTATGGTTATTAAAGCTGTTAGTTGAAAATGTTCATTTAATAGAATTAATCATATAAAAATATATTTTATATAATATTCCATAGCATTAAATATTGTTTAGTAATATATTTTTTAAAGAAATTAACACATTTAATTATGCGCCTGACACACACTCACACACACACACACATATGTTTATACATATATAAACATATATAATTGGTTTTCTGAGTAGCTAATTCAGGCAATGCAAGTATCAAATACAAAGCATGATTTTGGGCTTCGGGGTTTTTCAGCATACAATCATATACATGCGATTATTTGCAATTAACTTGATTAATTAATAAGCATATCATGCAATTAATCATATTAAAAACTAACAAATTGACAGCCCTAACTGTAATATAGCATTTCTAGTAACGGTTAGTATCTGTGTGCAATTATATAAAAATACATTTTATTGAATTTAATATTATTTAATAATAATTAAAAAAATTCAAGCATTGCAGTTAAGATGTGTGCAGTGCATTAACCTGATTTTAATTGTTATGTATGACTTTTGAATGTGTTTTTATTATTACTATTTTTTATTTGTATTGTGATTTTTTTAGGTTTTCTTACCATTTGAGCAATTAAGACAATGCGCTTAGGCTTTGGACTTTTCTCAACAAATATAAAAAAATATGTTTATAAATCGGTTAGTTGCAGTCCTCAATTCTGATTGGTCAACAACTGTGTTTTTGGTTTTGTTCACGATAAAGCACGACTATTACCGTTTCACTCAACGCTTCTGGGTATCACTGCGCAAGACCCTTAGCAACCATCCTTAGCAACATAAACAATCAATAATATAGCATCAAAACTGTTCCATGTATTATATATTTTTCAGCAAAATTAACTGTTATTTATTTAACGAAGTATGAGTGACTCTTGCTGGCGTTATGTTGCGTCATTCATCTTTTATTTTGAGACCACGCCCTTCCCCCTTCAAAGAAACTCTTCTCATGCGGGAGAAACACGTGTCTGTGTGGAAGCCCACAGTTTCCAAAGTGAGGAGGCAATATTAGTATATTTATTAGTTTTCTGTTTCAGGTATGATTCTGTATGTCCATCGGTTTACACTGTAATGACGCTCGCAAACTCGCGCTGTGTCACGAATCAGTCTGTTTTAAACTAAAAGACGGAAAACAGACGCTGAAAGATAAGCAGATGTATGTGTGTGAGAAAATATCATTGGTGTTAAATATTTTAAAGACACAGCGGGTGAGAAGAGTTCCTACTCTCTGTTTTTATTTAAAGGGGTCATATGATGTTGCTAAAAAGAACATTATTTTGTGTATTTGGTGTAATGAAATGTGTTTATGCGGTTTAAGGTTCAAAAAACACATTATTTTCCACATACTGTACATTATTGTTTCTCCTCTATGCCCCGCCTTCTGAAACGCGTCGATTTTTACAAAGCTCATCGTTCTGAAAAGCAAGGTGTGCTCTGATTGGCCAGCTATCCAGTGCGTTGTGATTGGCCGAATACCTCAAGCGTGTGACGGAAATGTTACGCCCCTCACATACTGTGATGCCCTGTCCGGCCGGAGCGACGAGACATAAACATTAAAACCCATTATAAACGAGGCATTTGTTGCATCCAGTGGGGACATAATTACGGATTATAATGACTTATACTGTCTTTTTACACGTTGCGTTGCATCGCGCCGCGTAAACATAAAACCATGTCTGCATTTGTGATCGGAGAAATGACAAACAACAAGCGCTACTCTACACTGCTCAAAACTCGCGTTTGAATCATCAGTGGCAAATCCTTTTAATATGAAAACGTACTTACAGTCAGTCTGTGAGTCAGAACAGCCGGCATTGTAGTCTACTCTCCCAGGATCAGGAAACAGTCCTCCATAAAATGTACTGCACACATCTGAATATTTGGGTTAAACTGTTCTGGAACAGTGTTGTAAATACAACTTAACCACTGATTTCTAGTCGTGTCCTCAGTCTTTGCAACTTTACAGATCTTCTTTATGCACCAAGAGCTTGTAACACTCCAAAGAGAAAGTAAAAATTGAAATCGCATCATATGACCCCTTTAAGCTCCATAAGACGAGTCATGTTAAATCGGAACATTCTCTTGCCGTTTACTGTTGCTGTCAGGAACTATTTTTTTAGTGGAAGGACAGCATTTAACCAACTTGCTTCAAAAAAGTATCATATCAATGCATACATTTTTGGTTTTAACATTTATTATTTATGGTGTGGTAACCGTCTTATAAAAGCAATAAGGCATAACTCTAGGTGTACTGTATTGTGAATAACTGCCTAACAACGCCCTTCAGTCGTGACTTATTTACAGTACAGCACGGCCTCTCGTACCTTATTGCTTACAAATCTGTTTATGTGCAGTGTCATGTAATGTGGTTATCAGCATGTCATGTAATTAATGGTGTGTGTGCAGGGCATCAATCTGTCCGGCGGTCAACGGCAGAGAGTGAGTTTGGCCAGAGCGCTGTACAGTGAAGCGGACGTCTATCTGCTGGACGATCCTCTGTCCGCCGTCGACGCTCACGTCGCCAAACACATCTTTGACAAAGTCATCGGGCCTGAAGGAGCCCTCAAGGGAAAGGTATGTGCATGACTATTTCCGAGCCTGTTCCCTGAAAATAATTTGGGTGAACTAACAGTGGTCTCACATTGACCCATGCATGTGATGCGCTCTCATCTGTCACAGTCAGACTGTAATGTGATTTAGCAGATCAGGGTAAAGCGATGTGCTGTTCCTATTCCAGACGCGGATACTGGTGACCCACGGGATCAGCTTCCTGCCGCAGGTGGACAACATCCTGGTGATGGTGGACGGACGCGTGTCAGAAATGGGCTCCTACCAGGATCTGCTCAAGCAGAATGGAGCTTTTGCAGAGTTCCTCAGAAACTACTCTCTGGAGGATATCATCGAAGACGATGAAGTCACTGGTACATAAGAGAATTATTCATATTTGAATTTAAATATAATATAAAAGTAGATATATAAATTATATGTAATGCATTTTATAAAATATTTATTATTCATATATTTCGATTTTTTTATTTAGTTGTAATATATTATCAAGTATTTATCATTTGTACATTTATATATAATTTTATTTATTTATTCATTTGTAATACATGTGAAATATTTGTTATTCATATATTTAGATAGTATTTATTTGTTTATAATACACATTAAATGTTTCTAACTGATATATTTATATATTTTTTATTTATAATACATGTTATGGAATATTTATTATTCATATATTTAGATTATTTAGAGTATTTATTTGTGTATAATACATATTAATAAATTGTTTATTTGTTTGTTGGTTGCTTATTTATTTATACATATTATTCATTAAAATATTATTCATATATTTAGAAATAAAAAATTATTTCAATTATTTATTACTTTCATTTTGATCTTATAGAAGTTCACTTTGACACTTAATGGTTTTTCAGTTTTGTTGTTTGACAGATATTTCTAAATAAATATATGTATTTTTATTCATAATACATTACTTATTTGTAATACATATTATGAAATGTTTATTATTAAAACATTTAATTTTTATTTATTATTTTGTTTATTATTTGTATTTGTTATTATTTTGTGTATCATTTTTATTTGTTTATTTATAATTTATCATTAAATAATTATTTATAATACATATTACAATGTTATAAAATATTAATTGGCTATTAAATATTAATTATGTATTTATATATTTGTTTATTTATTCATAATACATTTCTGATACATACTTGCTTTAGTTTTGGTCTTGCACTGTTTTTCTGACTTTGACTCCTGATGGTTTTTCAGTGTCATTGGTTGATGAGGAGGAGGAGGAGTTTCCTGAAGATGCTCTCAGTAATCACACAGATATGGTGGATAACGAGCCTGTAGTCAACGAGGCGCGCAGACAGTTCATGAGGTACACATGCATTTTTAATGCCTCTCGCTCTGCCAGTTGCTTTGGCTTTGTGACTTCTGCTTTTACAAGCACTTCTCATGACGACAAATTTGGCTCTCGGCAAACTATGCTTTTATTTTTCTGTGACTTTATGATATACAATGCAATTTGCATGTTGTATTCCCAGTTAAAAACCACTTAATATCACATTCAGTGGAATATACAAAAGATATTTGGATGCTACTGAACTGCTATATTTATTCCTATTTGAATGTTCATCATCCTATAGATGCATGCATGTTACAGGATTAATAAATTTGGTTTAACCAAAAAAACATTGACCAAATTACACTTGCCTTCCATAGAACTATGTGTAAAATAAAAAAAATAGTGTTGTCACGTGAATGAAGAACTTTGAATGTAAGTGACTGTTACTAAGAGGACGATGATGATCTTCAGTGGTTTATATAAATCCAAAATAACCGTCTGAAAATCTAATTTCCATCAATATGAATGCATGGGTGTTTGAGTTCGGATGTCCCATCAGTCTGTGCGTCTCTCTTCTGTTCTGTTGCAGGCAGATTAGCATCATGTCTAATGATCTGGAGAACCCAAAGAAAATGTCCCGCCGGCGGCGCTGCAGCGAGAGGAAGCACCCAGAGTCTCCGACCGAGAAGAAGGAGCCGAAGCTGGAGAAACTCATCCAGGCTGAGACGGCTGAGACCGGACGGGTTCGTGACTCCAGACCGCCCTCGTGTGGAGGACGAGAGTCGAACAACCACACAAACACAACACACAACTCCACCTGACTATAATGGCACATTACACTAAGTTTTGTAATAACTATCCCTCACATACAGTATGAAGTATTATAAATGTTATATAAACTATTATGCCTAACATCTTAAAGCTAACAGAGCAGGAAAGTAGCTAGATTTAAATACTTCAGATGTCTCACATTCAACTATCCCAGTTGTTAAAAAATAAACAAAAAAATTAACCTAAATATGACATTTATAGCACCCATTTTGACAGACATTTTTCAGTTTTAATTTCAAATTTTAAAATTAATTTTTAATTTCAAATTTTGTCTGTGTTCATGTCTCTTTTCTTTTTCTTTTTTTTGCAATAAAATAATCAAAGGCCCATATTATAAAATATTTATTGCAAAAAAAAAAGTTAAAACATGAAACATTAAAAAAATGTCTAGTACCCATCCTAACATGTTTTTCTTAATTAAATTTTTAAATAACTAAAGTCCCATATTATAAAATATTTATTGCAAGTAAAACATAAAAAAATGTATAGTGTATATATTTTTTTCAATTTTAGTTTTTATTTTATGACTTTTGTCTTTGTTCTTCTTTGTGCAATAAAATTACCAAAGCCCCATATTATAAAATAACTATTTGCAAGAAAAAGGTTTTAAAAAATTAAACATTAAAAAATTTATAAAATGTTTTGCTATAAAATTATTAAAATACAAATTTAAATACGTTTAAAATACGATTTTTCTCAATTTTAGTTTTTTTAGGGCTGTCAGTTTAACGCGTTAACTTCATTAATTAGTTATGAAAAAATAACGCAATTAAAATATTTTAATGCAGTTAGTGCACTGGCCCCGCCCCCAGACCTGTACATCATCTTACGTTTCATACAGCTGACTGTTGCAAATATGATGCAGGGTAACAACTCCATAAACGCAGTTATGCCCTAAAATTCCAGATATTGGGGCAAAAAATGCCCCTGTATGAGTTTTTGTTTCATATTTATATCATATGATAAGCGATATCACACAAGTGCTGATTTTGTCACGAAGAACACGAGTGCACATGTGATTTTATACAACAGTTCAGTAAATAAGAAGTTAATATTGTGCTATATTTTAAACACAATATTGTGTGTTTTTGTTAAATTTTGCCAATGAAAATATTACCTAAAAAAACCACAGCAGAATTGTTGTGCGTCTGCGAGCAACACAACAGTGTTTAGTTTCTGAATGAATCCACGTTTTGAACGAATCGTGTGAATCAATGACTCAGTAGCCCATTCATAAACAGAGCCATAGCCTGCGTCCCAATGTCCTAAATTCTATGTGATATTAGTAATTTTCAATACTATTTAGGGCAGATAGCCCTAGTTTTTTTTTATTTCATGACTTTTGTCTAAACTAAAATAACCAAAGCCCCATATTATAAAATGTTGATTGTAAGAAAAAAATTTAAGTGAAACATTAAAATATATAGTGCTGATCCTAATGGATTTATTTAAATTGTAATTTATAATATCATGAATTTTGTCTTTGTTCATTTCCCTTTTTTATGCTATGAAGTAACCAGAGCCCCATACAAAAAATATTCACTTTCAAAATAATAGACAATAAAATTTATAGTACCCATCCATAGTTTTTATTTCAATTTCAATTTTCCCTCATTGTATAAAATATTTATTGTAAGAAAAAAAATATATAGTACCCAACCTTTCAATTTTAATTTTTAACTTCATGAATTGTGTCTTTATTTCCATTTTTAATGCTATGAAATAACCAAAGCACCATTTTACAAAATATTTATTGTAAGAATTTTTTTATTTAAATTTGTATTTAATATTGAGAATGTTAAGCACTTGCTTTGACTCCTCTAGAGTGTTTTCTCATGATGTGTGTGTGTGTTGTGTGTTGCAGGTGAAGTTTAAGGTGTACTGGGACTATGCGAAGGCCGTGGGGCCGTTCCTGTCACTCTTCATCTGTTTCCTGTACGGCTGTCAGAGCGCCGCCTCCATCGGAGCAAACTTCTGGCTGAGCGAGTGGACGAATGACGCGCAGCACAACCGGACGCAGGACCAAGTGTCCATGAGGGTGGGGGTGTACGCCGCGCTGGGCATTTCACAAGGTACGGTCAGATACTCTGAGCGCAGACACGCTAATGCTAATCTAACGAGTCTCGTCTGATTGTGTTATTTAACCAACCACAGAAATACTGACTGAACACATGGTCATATCATTTCATTCACATCCACCATAAAGGGACAGTTCACTCAAAAATCAAAACAGTTCTGCTATTTGCTCATCAAACCCATATGCTGCTTCACTGGAATGAAAAAGGAGAAATTATGAAGATTCACTCGCTTCTGTTAAAGTGACCATGTCTGTCAAACTTAATAAAACTCTTCTAAAGCATAAAGAAAAGACAGAACTTGCTCAAAATCTGTTATTCTCCATTCTGCGTATTCAAACTGGCGCATCATGTTTGTTTACATAAAAAAAAAAAATGTCAAGGTCAAGAAATCTTGTAAAATATTAAATTATAATAATTATGTTGTAATTATATTGATTATAATATATACAATTATGTATTTATTATAATTATAATTAAATGTAATAAATATTAAAATGTTATTAATAGTTAACTTTTTATGACAAATAGGCAAGGTTAGTTCAGGTTGTAAGATGTTGTGTGGTGCAACTCCACAAAAATGTGATATTTATGAATATTTACTGTAATATTCATAATATCTGCAAGAAGAAAAATACATTTTCTTTTACCTTTAAAAGAATATATTTTAAAAACTATTAATGTGTACACTTGCCTGTCGGGAAAATGTGGCATTTACCTGTTGGTTATACCAAATGACATTTAAAAAAATTAATTTTATGAATTTTGATGTTAACTTTAGTTTTCCTATAAAATAACCAAATCACAAAATACAGGGTTTTGAACAGCATTTAGACCAACATTTTGGTACCAGGGATCGTAAATAATTTTAATAATTAGTTATTTATATACCGACCCTTTTGTATAAAGTGGTATAATATGGTTTTGACAACTTTTATAAAACGGATAGTTCCGGTGCTTGATTCTGATTGGTTGAGCCACGTTCGAAGCTGTTGTAAATTACTCTACAAACGAAACTAATGTGAAAACTAAGTGTGCATAGCAAGAATTGTTAATTTCGTTAACGAAAACTATTTGAAAACTATGAAAATATTCCCTGACAACCTTTTTTCCATGAGCATCATTACACTATAGTGACTATATTAACATGCAATATCGTTGACAAAAAAAGACGAGACTAAAATGTAGTTTCAAAAATAAAAACTCTCTATATCCAAAAATTGATCTTGACGGGCCTCCATGTGTTTGAATTATTGGGGTTGCCAGATGAGTTAAAATCCCCAAATCAGAGCTTCTCTCTTAAAAAATAAACATTTTCTGCACAGTGTTTCACTTTATCTTCTCAACCTGGCAACCGTTCACACACGCGTTCACTGTAGAAAAAGCGCTGATGACCTTAAAACATCGGCAAACGTATGTTTTTTAAACACAAAACAGGACAGGTTGACTAAATACTGATAAAAACTAGGCAGATGTGTTTAAAAATGGACGTTTTTATCCTCTATTCTATTGTAAATACAGCTTTATTGGCCGATCGATCTTGTCATTATACGGAAAAGAGCTGCATTAAGTTTCTCCTTTTGCGTTCCACTGAAGTCGCGTGAACAATGATGCACCTGTCGTTTTTGTGTGAACTCGGCCCCTGTGTGTATTTGTGGTGAGGACTGTGCTCTCGTTTGACTCCCGCTCTGTAGCTCTCCCGTATCCCACAATCCCCTGCAGGCGTGTGTAGTGTAGTGACGCTGTGCCCCTCCTCTGGTCTCTCTAACACAGGCGTCCTGGTTATGTTTTCCTCCTTTACTCTGGCTCTGGGGAAAATCCAGGCCGCACGCAAGCTGCATCAGACCCTGCTGGACAACAAATTTCACACGCCCCAGTCTTTCTTTGACACCACCCCCATAGGCCGGATCATCAACCGCTTCTCCAAGGACATTTACGTGATCGATGAGGTCCTCCCGTCCACCATCCTCATGTTCCTGGGCACCTTCTTTGCCTCTCTGTCCACCATGATTGTTATCATTTGCAGTACGCCCATATTCGCGCTGGTCATTGGCCCTCTGGCTTTGATTTACTTCTTTGTGCAGGTATTTTTGCCCTTTTTTGCAGCTGTACGATTCTGGATGAAAGCAGGATAACGTTTGCATTTCAGTTCCCTTTCGAGGAGTATTTGAGCGTGTGCTTTCCAGGATATGGTACAGAGAGTCAGTCTGTGTAACCTGTGTGATTTCTTCCTCTGTACTTCCTCTATGTCTATTTGGCTTTGTTCAGACAGTGGGAAAAATCTGATTTCTTAGTTGTTGTTTTGTTTTTTTTGAACAATTAAAATAACAAACTTAAACAGTCTCTTCTTTGATTTACATTTATTCTGTCAATTAGGACACATCGTGTCAGTATAAAATCACACAAAGTGTGCATTATTACTCTACAGCTGTCATTCTTGCTCATACACTGCAAAAAATGATTTTCTTAGTGTTTTTTTTTTTTTAAACATTCATCTGCTTTTAATGCAAATAAACAATGATTTTATTTTTTTAGGACCTAAATAAGATTTTTCCAGAAAGTATTTTTGAATTTTTATCATATGGAATTTTAAGACATCTTATGTCATTTTAATTAGTATATTAATTTAAATTTTTTTTTTTTTTTAGTCTTTCATTTTTATATCAAAAGTAAGCATGTTTAAGCTTAAAACAAGAGAAATCATCTGTCAATGGGGAGTAATATAAACTAGTTTTCACTTTGAATTATTAAGTTCATTTTTCTAACCTTAAATTATATATATATATATATATATATATTGTAATAATAATAATTATTATTATTTATTATTATTATATAATTAACTTTCTGCAATAATTTATAATCTGTCAGTTGTGGTAAAAAAAAAAGTTTTTATTAAATTAAGTTTATTTTTCTGACCCCATTGGCTATTATGTTTTAAATTTTTTTTTCTTTTTATATATATATTTTTTTCTTGTGTTAAGCTTAAACCTAATTCATTTTGATGCATTTAAAAAATAAAAAAAAAAGTCTCGAGTTTTCTAAATTTTTCTGTGTAAGTGTATCTTGATTTAAGAATTTTCTGATATTTATTGTGGAAAACAACAGAAATACTGAGTAAGAAAATCATTTTTTGCAGTCTTCTGTATGTAGTAAACAGTAGTTTTAGATGCAGTTTATGCACAACAGTGTCTGAACACACAGATCACACGCAGACACTCGGTCCTAAAGATCAGATTTTCACGTGGTGTGAGCAAAGCCGTGTCTTGTGTCTCCCGGCGTGTGCAAGAGCTTGTTTCCTGTTCCTCCCTCAGTGCCTGCTGCCCACTTCCTGCTTTGACTTCTGCTGCTGTTTGCTTTCACAATCACACCCATTCATGAGCACAAACCATCACACACATGCACACATGCACACAGGGACTCTGGGAGTGTCTGTCCGTCTCTGGTTTGTGTCGGATCCTCGTGCTTCACCAGCGCCCTCTGCTGATCATCAAACACATCCACACTTCTCCAGTCAATTCACTATGAGTTACTAAATGGTGCATGTATGCTCTCTGTATTTGAGAGCAATGAGTACAACCTAGTGATTATCTTGTTCTTAGTTAATAATCCAAATGAGATCTTTCTTCTCAGTATTTTTGTCTTGTTTTCCAGTACAAATATCGTATCATTTACTTGAGAAACAAATTGAGTTTTTGTTTAAAATAAGGGAAAATATGTAATTTTTTCTCTTGTTTTAGACTTAAATTCACATTTGTTTTTCAGAAAACAAGTCATTTTGCTTCTCAAGTAAATGTTTGGATATTTGTACTGGAGAATAGGACAAAAATACTGAAAAAAAAAAAAGTTTTTCTTACAGTGCAATATCTCAGTTGTTGCTTCTAGACAGCAATGACATAATATTGAGATCTTTTGCTTAAGCCTTTAGGCTCTCAGATGTTTCTCCTCATATAAAGACCCAAGTAATCTCATGTCTCTAGTAGTTTTATATCACATCTTAAGAATATCTCAGATTTGAAGTCTGCAATCAAATGCCAGAGATTTCAGTATGAACATCAAAACATTTCATATCAAATTCTTTACGAAACGACCATTCAAAAGGTTGAGGTCGGCAAGATTTTTTATGTTTTTGAAAGTCTCTTCTGCTCACCAAGGCTGCACTTATTTGGTTAAAAATACAGTAAAAATTCTGAAATATTATTCCAATTTAAAATAGCTGTTCTCTATGTGAATATCTGTTAAACTGTAATTTATTCCTGTGATCAAAGCTGTATTTTCAGCATCATTACTCCAGTCTTCAGTGTCACATGATCTTCAGAAATCATTCTAATATGCTGATTTGCTGCTCAAGAAACATTCCTGATTATTATCAGTGTTGAAAACATTTGTGCTGCGTCATATTTGTGTGGAAACCATCATACATTTGACTTTTCAGGATTCACAGATTAATAGAAAGTTCAGAAGAACGGCATTTATTTGAAATAGGACATTTTTTGTCACATAATAAATGCAGCCTAGACAATCAAAAGTATGCATTTCTTTCTTACCGACCCCAAACTTTTGAACAATTCTTCATCTAAGCTACATTAAAGTGTGAATGTTATAGTCATTTGAATGCTGAATTTCTCACAAGCACAACAGAAACACAACCAGGGAAAGCAGTTTTATGACTTCCACACGAGTCTGTTTCTCTCCTAGATGAGCGGACACGGTGCCGGCCTCTGTCAGTATTTCACACACACACACACACACACACACACACACACACACTCACACTCACACACACACGCTGTCTGAAGTGCTTGTCTGAAGCAGCCATGAGCGAGCGAGGGCCGACCCCACTAACCCGTGTGCTGCCCCTTCAACAGGTGCGCTGATTCTGGCCAACTGTTTACTGTGTCGGGCGTACAGCATGCTGAAGGCAGCCCACGAGACGCACCTCCACATGCTCCACGCCATTCTGAGGGCCCCGCAGGCCTTTTTCGAGGCCACACCCTCGGGGCGGGTCTTGAACCGCTTCAGCAAAGACGTGGACACAATAGACTCTGTCATTCCAGACAATATTGATATCTGGATGCGTACTTTCTGGTACACAGTAAATGTGCTGATAGTATGCTCTGCCCTCACCCCTATGTTCCTCATAGTCATAGTGCCGTTAATGCTGTTCTATTGGTGGGTCCAGGTAAATAGGAACAAGTCTGCTAACTCATTAATACAGCATGCTAACATGTGTTGTTGTTGTTGTTGTTATGTTCTAGCTGCATTATCACTGTCGTAGTGTTGTAGTTTGACACCGTGTGGTTTGGTCATTCGGTTGTAGCGCGCTCAGGGAGTCGCTCTCTGATTGGTTAGTCGTGGCTGTTCTTTACCGAATCACCTCCTTGAGTTTCTGAGAACTTCCTAGAAACGTACAGTAACAGAGCTTACATGAAACACGCAGTATACCACAAATCCTTGCGTTTTAGTTTTAATTAATATTGTACATTATATTAACAGTATAATAATTTGAGTCAAAAGTGTTATTTTATTATTATTATTATTATATATTTTACTAAGATTTATTATTGCTATTATTAAGAATGTTAGCGACAACAATAATAAATTATAGCAATAATTTGTAATTTGTCAAATGATATAATACTGCTGCTAATTATAGTAATGATGATAATTATTAATAATTATTGCAGTCAGTAATTACTAGTATATCATTATTTACAGTCATTACAATCATTTATTATTGTTATAAAAAAAAATTATTACAATAATTTGTTAAATGATATGCTATTAATACTATTACTAGTAATGATAATAATAATTAATTTTAGGATATAATTTAAAACATTATTAGAGTAAATTATTATTATTATGTAATTATATGTTACTGCAATAAATTATTATAAATAATAATTATTATTATTAACAGTAATAGTAATAATACATTTTTGCAGTAATTTATTATTATATAATATTGATACTACTACTAGTATTAATTATATTTGTTACTATATAGTTTACTAAATTATTATTAGTAGTAAATGAATGTATTAAATGATTTAATGCTGCTGCTACTAGTACTATTACTAATTGTTATTATTATATAATTTAATTAAATGTTGCAATAAATTATCATCATGATTAATATAAAGTAGTAGTAATAAAAATAATTATTATTTCTATTAACATTATTATAATGTAATTAAATGATGGCAACCATGTATGATTATTATTTATTTATTAATATATTTTATTAAAGTGTATATGAATTTCTTAGTACTTTGGCATATAGTAAACAGTATATTCCCTGTAGTCACAGCAGCAAACTTCATATTCCATATTACCAATCATAATACGAGAATGATCAGTTGTTTTGAAAAGTAATAAAGGCAGGTAAAGAACAGCCTTTTACTGTAGAGTTAGCTTTGCAGGAGTAGAAGTTAATTCATTTGTCTTCTACTGAACATGGTTTTGAAGTGTTTTGCTGTGCTGTATCTCATCACTTCATCAGCCTAATCTCCATTCGCATTACATCAGCATTCATACTGTGTGCGCCTCTAACACTAACAGTGTAGCGTGTAGCTGTCAGTGCTAATGCTAGCGCAATAACAGACAGGACTTTTAACTTGTTTTTGTAGTTATTTTAATGAAAGAACTGGGGATGTGAGGGTGCAATAAGAGTCAACGAGTAAGAAGTGGATTTGGTGGTGTGTCCCGCTGTTAAAGGAACAGTTCAGACAAAGATGAAAATGTGTTCACTCTCAGGTCATCCAAGATGTAGATGAGTTTGTTTCTTCATCAGATTTGGAGAAATGTAGCATTGCATCAGTGTCTCAGCAATGGATGCTCTGCAGTGAATGGGTGCCGTCAGAACGAGAGTCCAAACAGCTGATAAAAACATCACAATAATCCACAAGTAATCCACACCACTCCAGTCCAGCAGTTAACGTCTTGTGAAGCCAAAAGCTGTGTGTTTGTAAGAAACAAATACTTTAAAAACTTTTTTGAGATCTTTTTAACTAAAATACAAGTCCCTAATCCATAATAACGCTTCCTCCAGAGAAAAAGTGGTCTGAATCAGGAGAGAAATCTGCACAGATCAAGCACCGTTTACAAGCCAAAACAGCTCTAAACAAATATGATGTGAGAGACAACAGGAGATGGATTTTTTCACTGGAGGAAACATTATAATGGATTAGGGACTCTTATTTTATATAAAACTTTTTAAAAATTACTTTTAACGAACACGCAGCTTTTGTCTTCTCAAGACATTAACTGATGGACTGGAGTGGTGTGGATTATTGTGATGTTTTTATCAGCTGTTTGGACTCTCATTCTGACGGCACCCATTCACTGCAGAGCATCCATTGCTGAGACACTGATGCAATGCTACATTTCTCCAAATCTGATGAAGAAACTCATCTACATCTTGGATGACCTGAGGGTGGGTGAGCACATTTTCAACGAATGTTAATTTTTGGGTGAACTGTTCCTTTAACTTATTACTAATATTTAGGCTACTGACAACATAGTGTTAAATTCTGCTTAACCAGTTCAGATCCTAATTACAAGTAGATGAAAGAAAAACAGCATTACAGTGATAACAAAAATAGCTTGTAACATCTGATACTGTATAATAATGATTTTTTTAAAGATAGTGTTTCAGATGTTTATGGGCCGTTGGTGTCATTTCATTAGTCCTGAACAGCAGTTTTGGTCTAGTCATTCTACTGTGATTCTCAAGATATTTTAGGTACTAAAATTCCAATCTCTCATTGCATAATTTTAACTTGGTCTTGCATCCCTCCTGATTGTCTTTTAATTTCACATACGGTCTCTCTTTTATGTATTGCTTAGGCTTTGCATGGCGCAAACTGGCTTTCTATATTTTCTGTGCGATGACTAAATGAATCACTTGCTGCATGCAACCAAAATATCAAATGCACACTCTTTTAAATTCTCATTGATTTCATTATCTACACAAACTCAGGAATGCACAAAGCCAAACCAAACACTACAACATTATGATAGTGTTTGATCCCATTTACATTTGATCCCTTAATGTGAACATTGTTTTGAAATATTTGAATGTTGAATATATCATGTATTCTTAAAAGTTGTTTGATAACTGATTAAAAGTGAGGATTCTAAAAACTAAATTCAGTTGTAAATTAAAAATTGGCCATTGTGGTTTGTCTGAACGAAGGAATGTTTGGATTATCTAGAATCGCATTCAGTTTATTATAGGTAGCAGTATTTGATATTCAGAAGAATTTTGATTATCATATTCAGATTTAATCCTATAGCTCTTTAAAAGACTGTTTTTGAGGGAAATTATTTATCAAGGACACATTAAATTGATCAAAAGACATTTCTAATGTTACAAAAGATTTCTATTTCAAATAAGTGCTGTTCTTTTGAACTTTCTATTCATCAAAGAATCCTGAAAAATCAAATGTATCACAGTTTCTGCAAAAATATCAAGCAGCACAACTGTTTTCAACATTGATAATAATCAGAAATGTTTCTTGAGCAGCAAATCAGCATATTAGAATAATTTCTGAAGGATCATGTGACACTGAAGACTGAAGTAATGATGCTGAAATGGTTTACTGTATTTTTTATCAAATAAATGCAGCCTTGGTGAGCAGAAGACACCTCTGGCAAAAACTGACCCCAAACTGTATTGTGTATAAGACAAAAGAGTAGTTACCATTAATATTTGCATTGGAGGACAAACTGAAAATGATTATATAGAATCTTTTGGCCACCATAAAATAATTTGCATTCATTTTTCTCTTGTTCAAATTTATGTCATAAATTAGCTAGTAACATTCCTATAGAGTTCAGACAAACCTGCAATATTAAGTCATTGTGCTTGACTTTTAATGCATAACTTTAAAGCCTTAATTGAAAAGACTTGCTCAGAAAAAGCAAAAAAATTGCATGTTGCCAGTCAAATGATGAGACCAGTGTTTTCTGAATCCTCGCTCATTTGTATATTTATGAATGTCTAATATTCCTATTTTATGCCATGCATATATATGATGTTGTTACTGCTGCTCTCTGTTGTTGTGATAGCAGATTGTTTATTTCTCTCCCTGATTTCCTCTGTAGAGATTTTATGTAGCCACGTCTCGGCAGCTTAAGAGACTGGAGTCTGTCAGTAGGTCTCCTATATATTCTCATTTTTCGGAGACCATCACAGGCACTAGCGTGATCCGAGCCTACGGGCGAAACGCTGCCTTTGTTCTCATGAGCGATATGAAAGTGGATGAGAACCAAAAGAGTTACTACCCTGGTATTGTTTCCAACAGGTAGGTTTGGTCTCGCTCTCGTTTGGATGCATGCATTTCCTCATGCATGTTTTTTTACCGTCTGCTTCACAGAAAATAACAACACTTGCTTTTTTCGGGAAATGTCTTTCTGAATTCAGTTTCGAGCTTCTCTCAGTCGTGTGAGTCGTAACGGTGTTGTGTTCGGATGCACACAGGTGGTTGGGGGTTCGCATCGAGCTTATCGGCAATTGCATTGTGCTGTTTGCTGCTCTGCTTGCTGTGATTGGGAAGGACAAACTCAGCCCCGGATTGGTCGGTCTGTCCGTGTCATATGCTCTACAGGTAAAATCACGCTCATTATGTTCTGTATAATCGTGTGCGATCAAGTAACATATACCTTTAGATGAGTAAAAGATTGAACTGCTTAAATCATAATGCTGAGCAATAGTTCTCATTAGATATCGTTTTTACTGTATTTTATTATAACTGCATCTCCTGATGCTCAAAAACGTATCGTAGGATTTACGAGAAATATTTACATTTACACTGTACCTGTAAAAAGTTTGGAATAAAGATTGTTTTTTATTTTTGAAAAAGTCTCTTCAGCTTATTTGATCAAAAATACTTTACTGTCACTTTTGATCAATTTAATGCATCCTTGCTGTTTTCATCACTGATAATAATCAGAAATGTTTCTTAAGCAGCAAATGTATATTTATGAATGTCTAATATTCCTATTTTATGCCATGCATATATATGATGTTGTTACTGCTGCTCTCTGTTGTTGTGATAGCAGATTGTTTATTTCTCTCCCTGATTTCCTCTGTAGAGATTTTATGTAGCCACGTCTCGGCAGCTTAAGAGACTGGAGTCTGTCAGTAGGTCTCCTATATATTCTCATTTTTCGGAGACCATCACAGGCACTAGCGTGATCCGAGCCTACGGGCGAAACGCTGCCTTTGTTCTCATGAGCGATATGAAAGTGGATGAGAACCAAAAGAGTTACTACCCTGGTATTGTTTCCAACAGGTAGGTTTGGTCTCGCTCTCGTTTGGATGCATGCATTTCCTCATGCATGTTTTTTTACCGTCTGCTTCACAGAAAATAACAACACTTGCTTTTTTCGGGAAATGTCTTTCTGAATTCAGTTTCGAGCTTCTCTCAGTCGTGTGAGTCGTAACGGTGTTGTGTTCGGATGCACACAGGTGGTTGGGGGTTCGCATCGAGCTTATCGGCAATTGCATTGTGCTGTTTGCTGCTCTGCTTGCTGTGATTGGGAAGGACAAACTCAGCCCCGGATTGGTCGGTCTGTCCGTGTCATATGCTCTACAGGTAAAATCACGCTCATTATGTACTGTATAATCATGTGTGCGATCAAGTAACATATACCTTTAGATGAGTAAAAGATTGAACTGCTTAAATCATAATGCTGAGCAATAGTTCTCATTAGATATCGTTTTTACTGTATTTTATTATAACTGCATCTCCTGATGCTCAAAAACGTATCGTAGGATTTACGAGAAATATTTACATTTACACTGTACCTGTAAAAAGTTTGAAATAAAGATTGTTTTTTATTTTTGAAAAAGTCTCTTCAGCTTATTTGATCAAAAATACTTTACTGTCACTTTTGATCAATTTAATGCATCCTTGCTGTTTTCATCACTGATAATAATCAGAAATGTTTCTTAAGCAGCAAATCAGCATATTAGAATGATTTCTGAAGATCATGTGACACTGAAGACTGGAGTAATAATGCTGAAAATACAGCTTTGATCACAGAAATTAATTACATTTTAACAATTTGATCACAGCAATCAATTACATTTTAACAAATATTCACATAGTTAACAGTTAGTTTTTACTGTGTTTTTGATCAAATAAATGCAGCCTTGGTGAGCAGAAGAACATAAAAAACACAAAAACAAACTTTTGACTGGTAGTGTATGCATTTTTTTTTAGCAAATTCTTTTATTCAAAGCAAGTTGAAATAGAGGAGCGTAAGCAATTCCTCACAGAGCCAACAATATTCACACGATACGATGCCACGTTTATTATAAAGCTAGATTATGAAAAAGAGAAATGCAACGTTTTTTGTGCAAATAAAATCTGCATCAACAATTGTTATTTCTGCTGAATAGGTCACAATGTCCCTAAACTGGATGGTGAGGATGACCTCTGACCTCGAGAGCAACATAGTAGCAGTGGAGAGAGTGAAGGAGTATTCAGAGACGCAGACTGAGGTAAACATACAGTAGAATATAATCCACCGTCATCATATAATCATTATTTTAGGGTTAAGAAATCATTTGCATGAGTAAGACTTTGAATATCAGTATTAAATCTGGTCCATTTTGCAGTTTACTCTGCACACAGACTGCTCAATAGACAGCAAGAGTTCATTGTAAATCATTGAAATCGAACCCGTAGGCTCCATGGATAGTGACGGACAAGCAGCCTCCTCCAGACTGGCCTCCGAAGGGAAACGTGGAGTTCGCAGACTACAGCGTGAGGTATCGCGAGGGACTGGACCTGGTGCTGAGGAACATCTCGCTGAAGGTCGAAGGAGGAGAGAAGGTGAGGAGCGTCACCATTGACCTGCTTTAGATCATTCACAGCACAGAAACATTCTTCTCAGCTAAAGCATCATTTAGTCTATTTCAGGTACTGTTACTTCACCCAGTATTCTGTAAAAAGTGATGTTAAAAGGCACAATGGTGCATTATTATGATTATCATGTGATTTTTTTTTTTTTCATATCACAGTGATTGCTAAAGCCTTCACACATCTATGAAGAACAACATTAAAGAATCAGAACATTTACAAATATTTGGCATGAATTATACTCATAATTGCATTTAGCATATTGGGTAATTTTGAGTTTATATCTCATTATGACTTTTTTTTCTCAGAAATGCACATTTATATCTTGCAATTTTGTGTGTGTGTCTTATAATTATGAGTGTTTTCTCAGAATAGCACATTTATATCTTGCAATTTTGAGTTTATATCTCATAATTATGACTTTTTTTTCTCAGAACTGCGCATTTATATCTTGCAATTTTGAGTTTATATCTCATAATTATGATAATTTTCTCAAAATTGCACATTTATTTCTTTCAATTTTGAGTCTATATCTCACAATCATGATCATTTTCTCAGAATAGCGCATTTATATCTTGCGATTTTAACAGCTCAATAGTAAGTATTTTATATGCTAGCGATGGCAGGACAGCAGTTTAATTCAAATTTGGATTATTTTATATTTACAGTATTTAAATATATATCTGATATTCCCATAATTATGACCACTTTCTCAGAATTGCGCATTTATATCTTGCAATTTTTAGTTTATATCTCATAATTATAATTTTCTCAGAATTGCGCATTTATATCTTGCAATTTTTAGTTTATATCTCATAATTATAATTTTGTCAGAATTGCGCATTTATATCTTGCAATTTTTAGTTTATATCTCATAATTATGATAATTTTCTCAGAATAGCGCATTTATATCTTGCAATTTTGAGTTTATATCTCATAATTATGATAATTTTCTCAGAATAGCGCATTTATATCTTGCGATTTTGAGTTTATATCTCATAATTATGACTTTTGTCTCACAATTGCACATTTATATAATATTGAATCTTAAATACTGTTGGACTTCTCCGTGACAAGCGGGCGTCAGAAACAGAAAATGTTTTGTTTCCAGGGAAACCGCATTATTTCTGGGTTCCTTTATGCAGCACATAAGCAGTGTTGTGAAATTTAACCAGCTGATGAAAATACAGCATTCTAAGAATCCAAGTCATTCATAATAAGGTGTCTAGGATCATTCTGTGTATTTTCAAGCGCCCACGATACCATGCATGTCTACATTCAGCACACGTTTGTGTATGATGCTCTGAGTTCCTAACTGGTGGCGTGTCGCTCTTCAGATCGGTATCGTCGGACGGACAGGTGCCGGAAAGTCCTCCATGACTCTGTGTCTGTTCCGTCTGCTGGAGGCGGCGGATGGAGAGATCGTGATCGACGAGGTGAAGATCTCTGAGATCGGCCTTCACGACCTCCGCTCCAAACTCACCATCATCCCTCAGGTGGCTCTTTTGGCTTTGTTGGCGGTGATACATCTGTTTTAATTTAAGCGCAGCTTGGGAATGGTGTTTACTGCTGTATTAGCATTGCGCTCATGATGGGTCAGCAGAAAAAGCTCATTTCCCCATTCAGAGCCATAAAGCATTTGATAGTGATTTTGATGCCAAAGCACCTTCAGGCTCACTAAACGCTGGCTAATTAGCCTGTTATAAGCTAATGGCCTGTTAGCTCGTGTCCAGATTATTAACATTGGGCTTTTTTCCTGTTGTTTGTTTTCTCTAGTAAAACCAGTCCTTAACCTCATTTCACCTTTTAACAGTTGCTAAAATGCTGCAGTGTTTTAATGAGTTTTGCTCAGCACCATTCACTGTTCACAGCTCAACAGTAAGGATTTTACATGCTAGCCATGACAGGACAGCAGTTTTATTCAAATTTTAAATTAAAAATATATATTTACAGTATTCAAATATATATCAAATATATATAAATGTTGTTATATTTTCTTTTTTTATTCATTTGCATTAATAGCAGGAGTTTTGCTGCTTATATCATTTAATTTTAATTTATAATTTATTATAATTATGATTTTGTATTTTATTCAATAAGTAACTTATTTATTTCACATCTATAAGTTCATAAACAATACAGCGGTTGTTAAATATTGAGTTTAATAAAGTTAAATGTTGCATTTTCTTTTTAATTAATTTGTATTAATAGCAGGAAATTGTGCCACTTATTTAATTTTAATTTATAGTTTATTATAATTGTATATATTATTTAGTAAATAACTATAAATTCAGCAATAAATTCAGCAGTACAGCATTAGTTAAATATTTAGTTCAAAAAAGTTAAATATTGAAAATATTTTTGAAATCAAATATGTGTTAATGTTATTACATTTTCTTTTTTTAATCAATTGCCATTAAAAGCTGGAAATAGTACCACTTATATTATGTCATTTTTAATTGATTATAATTTTATGTATTATTTAATAACATATTATTTAACTGTGACAGCTATAAATTCAATTCAACAATACAGCATTAAGTAAACATTGAGTTCATTAAAGTTAAATATTGAAAATATTTTTGAAATCAAATGTATGTTAATGTCAATTTTCTTTTTTTAAAATGAATTTGCATTAATAGCAGGAAATCATGCTGCTTCTATTATTTAATAATAATTTTGATATATATCGTTGAGTCCTGCCATTCTCATTGATTCATGTTGATGATAAATAAATGCTGTTTTTCTCCAAATATAAGTGAGTTTTGGTTATATATGTTTTGCGTATCACAGTATCTGATGGTGCAGTGTGTTGTGGGATTGATATGTGTTTGTAGGAGCCCGTCCTGTTCTCCGGGACTCTGCGGATGAACCTCGATCCCTTTGAGAAATACAGTGATGAAGAAGTGTGGAAAGCACTGGAACTCTCTCATCTGAAGAGGTTTGTCAGCAACCAGACGTCCAAGCTCGACCTGGAGTGCTCCGAAGGAGGAGAAAACCTCAGGTACAAGCAGGAGCAATACAGCAATATGGGCTGTGCATTACATTACAATATATTCACAAAACAATACTGTTATTTTAACCCTCTGGTGCTGGTCGGTCATTTTTGACTGGTTGTTTTGGTTGTTTACAATCTTTTACTTCTTCAGAATGGTACAAATCTTCAAAGGTTTTTCACTTGATGTGTGAACATAAACATGAAAAAAGGGCTGCACGATTATGACAAAAATCATAATTGTCGATTATTCCCTTGAAATTGTAATTGCGATTATTAATTACGATTATCACAATTTACATTGAATGACGTTTATACCATTGTTTGATGCAACTGCATGCCGTATATTTTTTAATGAAAATAAACAAGCTGAAAACACTTAACTGAAAAACTTTTAGTGCTTTTCTATAGAAATTAAGCCTCAAATGTCAACTAAACATCGGATTGGTTTCTTCTTTAAATTATAAAAAAGTAAAAATATGAATGGTATTATAATGTCATACTAAAACTAAAATCAAAATAATGGGAAAACCCCTTAAGATAACCCTAACCCTAACCCTAGAAAGAAAAAAACTCATCTTAAGCACGCAGAATAACATAAGTGGACTTTGAACGATTAATTGCCGCTTTGGTTTACAATTACGTAAATTGACGATTACGTAATTGTGGCATCCATAATTGTAATCGCGATTAGAAATTCGGTTAATTGTGCAGCCCTAACATGATTTGAAAAGGTTAAATGATCTTGAAAAAAAAATAGTCACACTTGTCCTGCAAATTCTAATGAAAACGTTTGGTACTGCGCCCAAACAAAATCTTACTTTTTTAATCTAAAGTAAAATCTTTTTTTTTTTGTGACGTCACCCTCAAATTTGGAACACAACTTAAGTTATAGCTTTGTTTTTCAAACAGTTTCAAACTTAAACATGTTTTGTAAAATATATATTTCATGTAAAATTTAAAAATAGTATATGCATTTTTTATAATAATGAACTTCTATAACTTTTTTCTGCTAGTGTCGTCTTGAAAAAGAGACAAAACTCGAGTCTGTGCTTCAAAACATTTCAGATTTAATACATATAATTATAATTTGAATATAATAAATATAAATATATTTTTTATTTAATATAGATAATTTCATATAAATTAGTACAATAAAGTCCCCTAAAAATACAAAATATTAAATAAAAAATACAAAATAAAAATTATAATAATAAAATTAAATAGTACATTCTTTTCAGTTAGATAGATAGACAGATAGATAGATAATTGGACTGCCACAAAAGCAGCATCAGAGGGTTCAGGCAAAAAATACCAAGAACATTCAAATCATCTAGCCCTAGTTCATGCATAATTTGTTCCTCTATATTTGCTGTAAGTGTGATGCATTATGAGTGTATTTCTGTACAGTATAGCGTGTTATGAATCCTGTGTTGTTGTGTGTTCAGTGTGGGTCAGAGGCAGCTGGTGTGTTTGGCGCGAGCTTTACTGAGGAAGACCAGGATCCTGGTCCTGGATGAAGCCACGGCTGCCGTCGATCTGGAGACGGACGATCTCATCCAGTCCACCATCCGCACACAGTTCGAGGACTGCACCGTTTTCACCATCGCTCACAGACTCAACACCATCATGGACTACACCAGGTACATCAAATCACATCTGCAAACACAATTCTCGTTTCTTACTACATTTGAGCTGCAGATTCCAAAAATACGGTCTGCTTTGCTGGACCACGTCACATTTTCTCACAAAAAATATGATGCATTTTATAGCATTTTTGCATTTGATGATTGTTTGTAGGGTGAAGTAGTCTTGTATTCTCTCTTAATCAGCAGAAAAACACCTTTTTTTGCAGATTTTAAATTAAATTATACATTTTGAATACTCTGTTTTGTCATTTTTGACATTTGACTTTGTTGTTGTGATAAGTGGAGTAAGGCATACAAACTTTTGTGAAAAACTATGTCATGAAAAGTGTTTATTGATATGTTTGATCTCAGCATCATCAAATCAAGTTTTTTAAAGATGCAGGACTGCATTTTCATTCTAATTTATTATCATTCTAATCTAATATATTATTTAATAACTCGTATTATTATTTAACTCTGACGGCTACAAATTCATAAACAATACAGCATGATAATACTGATTTTTTTCTTTTTCTTTTTTTAAATCTATTCTTGCCAGCTAAATTATAATTGAATGTATTATTGCATTGCATTTATTATTAAAGTAATACTGATTCTATGTATATTTCATTAGTTCTTTGTCCAAAAATGCTTTTGGTTTTCACTTGACCAGAGTAATAATAATCATGAATGGCATTTGGCACATTCTGCATTGCATAATAGCAGAAAATTGTGCCACTTATTTTTTATATATTTTAATTACTTTAATTAATGCATTTTATTTGCAATTTCAAAGTATTCATAAATAATAATGCATTACTGATTTTTCATAATTTTGAACGAGCTAACATTAGGATTTTTTTGCAAATCAGCATCATTATTTTTCAAGATGCATATGTTATTTTGGCATTTTGGCATCACTGACAGATGCAGCACAAATTCTGAGCAGCTCCGTTATAGTTATTATTGCTTTAAGTAAAGCTTTTATGATATCAGAAGTTTTGATACCATTCATATAATTCTTGTCATCAATTTTAATATCACAAAAAACTAATACTAACCTAACATAAGTAAAAGAAACTCTCTCAAGCTTCCTGAAGACAAGTAAACAGTCAGATAAAATAAGAACATAGAATCAAATTAAAGAACAAAAACTACAACAACAAAGACCTACATGGAAAAACTTCAAGCACTAGAAATAAGAACTTCAATTCTGTTCTGTACAAAAAACACTGCATAGTCTTCACTGTGTAAATTAAATATAAATTTAGTCCTATTGAAGAGTATGGAAGCTTGTTTCCGTCACTGAATAAAAAACAAAACAAGGTAATTGCGACTTATCTCACAGTTCTTACTTTTTTACGCAAAATTGCAAGATATGCAGTAAGCTCGCTATTGCGGTCAGCACCGATGGCCTTGTGGGCAGCACGCCGACATATAGCACCGTTGTGCAACGGACGTCCCGAGTTCAAAATTCCGGATTGAGGACCTTTCCCAATCCCGCATCGTCTCTCCCACTAGGGCTGAAACAAACGATTATTTTGATAATCGATTAATCTGACGATTATTTCGCTGATTAATCAGTAGACATTTATTGATTATTCAGCTTTTGCAATTAGTTAAAATATTGAGTTATACATATTCTAACAAATAAATTAAGGTAATCACTTCAGCTTTTGAAAGTCATATTATGTAATTAGTTATACAATTAATTTATACAAATAAATATATTTGGCACACAAAATGAGATGGCAGAGAAACTCTTATTCACCATTTAATTAGCTATATGAAAAAGTAGCTGAATGACACATCATTCTGCCTTAAATCTCTTTTTTTAAGTCATATGGATAAGAAACAAAATAAAGGTTAAGTGATGAGATGTTTTATTTTTGGATAAACTATTTTATTCACAACATAATCTCTCTTAAAATACCTTATTAGGGTTATGATAATCAAAACAGTCCTGAGCTAGATCAAACGTTGATCTCTGCAAACCAAACTATAACTTTAATGAAATGTTTTTTTTTTCCCACTAATAAAAAGATTTTATCATTAGCTAGAGAGAGCTGCTTTATAACAGAAAATCAAGTTGTAATTCTAACTGAAAGCGACACTGACTCTGGTTTTTCATGTTTAATAATACTGTAAAGCTGCTTGATTTAAGGCTATCTATTGCATAAAGTACTATATAAATAAACGTGACGTGACTGGACATTGAGATGAAAAAGTGCAGTATATATTTACATATTGATCCAAACGCCGCTCAGCAGCTTCAGGTTCAGTTGCGTTTGCTCTGTCTGCAGCGCTGTGTATTCTTCTCTTGAATTGCATCAGGAGAGCTGAATTACAGTCTTGCGCTACAGCGCCACACTGGTCAAATCGCGTTATTGCAGGCTCTTACATTAGGTCATATGAGATCAAACGACTACTCGACAACAACAAAAATTGTCAACAATTTTTTATTGTCGATGTTGTCGATAATGTCGACTAATCGTTTCAGCCCTATCTCCCACTTCGCTTCCTGTCACTTCTACACTGTCCTATACTAATGACGTCAAAAAAAAAACCTCACTATTGTGAGTTGTAAAGTCAAAATTGCGGTATATAAACTCGCAATTCTGACTTTTTTCTGAGTTTATATCTCAAAATTCTGACTTTTGTCTCACAATTTTGGCTTCTTTTTTCAGAATTTTGAGATATAAACTTGCAATTGCAAGTTATAAAGTCAAATATAAGAAGAAAAAAAACCTCACTTTTCTTACAATTGTGAGTTTATATCTCACAATTCTGACTTTATTTCTCAGAATTGTGTGATATAACCTCAATTCTGAGAGACAAAGTATCTCAAATTAAATCATGCAATTATGATTTAATTTTCAGTTTATATCTAAAAAAAAATTCAAAATTGTGAGAAAAATGTCAGAATTGCGCGATAAAAAGTCCCAATTACCTATTTCTTTATTAATTGGCGGAAATACAATTCCATGCAAAAGTGATTTGAGTCGAGAGCAGCGAGAGATTTTCTCTTTTATTGTTTGAATAACATTAATGACAGCAGCAGGTTTATTAGGCTGCTGTCACTTTAAGACCTAATGCACGGATCTAATATTAGACACTCTTACATTTTCTTTCTCAACTATTTACCTTCACTTAAGACATAAACAGCTGTGTTTACAACTCATAAGTGTGTACAGTACAACTCACTCATTGGGTTCAAGCCCAATAAGGCATGTCTAGCGGTATATCGCCAACCCATATCATTCTTCTGAAGGCGGTTCATGTGCGTTTCTCTTGTGACAGAGTGCTCGTTTTGGACAAGGGACAGATCGCAGAGTTCGACACACCGACTAACCTGATGGCTCAGAAAGGAATCTTCTACGGGATGGCTAAAGACGCGGGTCTGGCGTGAGCCGCTATGCTGTAAACCGCAGTGCCTTCACACAGTATCACACACACAATGCCAGTGAATGTAATGTTGTTTGGTTTTTACTCAACAGTGAAAGCTACATCTAGGATCTTTTATTGTTTTTACATTATTGTTGTTTTTTCTATGACTACAGTGCCACTGTTACTGAATGAGTCGTTTCATGATGAAGCAGTCTATTTTTGTACTGTATTATTTAAGTCACTTTTTGAAGTTGTTCAATAGGGAAGATTTCTGCTCAGTTACATGTGTGATTCCTTTTGTAAACCAAATCTGTAAAAACTTGAATTCTGTTACCAGAATTGGAGTATTGTTGCATTTATTAAAAAAAAAAGTAATACTGTTTCTATGTGTATTTTGGAAATTCTGTGTCCAAAAGCCGTTTTGATTTTTTCATTACACTCATAAACTTCCTTTTTGTAGTGACCTGACATACAGCAGGAAATTGTGCCACTTTTATATTTTAATTTATAAATTTTTAAGTGCATTTACATTTAGAATGAATTGTGATTTATCAATATATTATTTTTTATCTCTGACAGCTATAAACTCATAAACAATACAGCATGATAGTGAATTTTTCATAATTTTGAAAAAAAAAACAATTTATGCTAGCCAACTATAAATTATAATTATAATATTACTACTTATAAGTATTATTATTACTATACTTATAATATCATTATACTATTATAATAATAAATTAAAAAGTAATACTTTTTCTATGTTTCGCAAGTTTTTTTTTTTTCTTTTTCCAAACTGGTTTTAACTCGTTTTTGACCAGAGTAGCAATCATAAACCTCCATTTTCAGTGACAAAAGGCACTTGATATAATAGCAGGAAATTGTGCCACTCATCTTTGCTATATTATAATTATAATTTCATATTATCACTGCATAATGGTTTTCACAGTTTTGATATAAACTACTGATATAAAGAGAGGAAATTTTATTATTTTTTCCCATTTTATATATTTGTTTATTTTAATTTATAATTTGTTATAAATATAGTTTAATATATCGTTTAATAATCGTGGCAGCTATTAATTCACAATACAGCATTGCTTTGTTGTTGTTGTTGTTTTTAGAATTTTGACAACATTTGATCTACACTATCCCAATTAATCATAAATACATTTTAATATACTCTTGTCAAAAAAAAAGCTGATTTGGTTTTTACTACAGTTTTTGACGAGTAGTGATAATAAACGTCCACTTTCACTCAAATAAAATGAAATAGATGGTCATAAACCCAGTCAAATTAACTATAGATTTTATAGATGTAATCTATTTTTAAATAAAATTTTAAATAAGTTCAGGTGAAGTTGAAATGAAAGAGAAATTCAGAAGTGTATTGTTTACTGACATTTATTGCTCATTTCTAAAACAGCATGAAAGATAAATGTCTGTTTCCTAAAAATAATATTAAAATCTCTTCATCTGTATGAATGCATAGAGCGAACTGAAGTAGATTTTAACCTGAATTCACCGACCAGTGCTTGTGTTTCAGTGTCTGTAGATGTAAATCATAGCTGACCACTAGAGGACGTTCCTCAGCGTCATCATGTCGTCTGTAATAAAGCACATGAGCTTTTCTGATTCTTCAATTGAGCCTCAACAGAGACAAAACATTAACTAATGTGCTTCATGATTGAATCACCTCTCTCTGAGGACACTTGTGGTTTTAGGAATTGGCTTGAACACATCTAATGTTGAACTGTTGAAACTTTGAGGGCTCATAGTGTGAATGTATAAAAATCTGCCGCAATAGATGCAACATAAAGCGGGTCAAAGGGTGTCATTCCTCTCATTCTGGACGCAGCTGCTGTCCGTCTCCTCTGAGCTCCACTGACTGCAAATCTGAAGATCTTAAAGGTCGTGCCAAGCAATGAAACAGATTTGATTCAACCCTCATAATCTGTTGAGACTGATTTGACTACATTTACATGTAAAGATATGAAAATATACACTACTGTTCAAAGATTTGGGGTCAGTAAGATTTGTTTTGTTTTTGAAAAATGTCTCTTCTGCTCACCAAGGCTGCATTTATTTGATCAGAAATACAGTAAAATTTGTGAAATATTATTACAATTCAAAATAACTGTTTTCTATGTGAATAAGTAGTAAAATAATAATAATTAATAATAATAATGTATGCATTTAGCAGACGCTTTTATCCAAAGCGACTTACAGTGCATTCAGGCTATACATTTTTGGACGCAGCTGCTGTCCGTCTCCTCTGAGCTCCACTGACTGCAAATCTGAAGATCTTAAAGGTCGTGCCAAGCAATGAAACAGTTTTCATTCAACCCTCATAATCTGTTGAGACTGACTTGACTACATTTACATGTAAAGATATGAAAATATACACTACTGTTCAAAGTTTGGGGTCAGTAAGATTTGTTTTGTTTTTGAAAAACGTCTCTTCTGCTCACCAAGGCTGCATTTATTTGATCAGAAATACAGTAAAATTTGTGAAATATTATTACAATTCAAAATAACTGTTTTCTATGTGAATAAGTAGTAAAATAATAATAATTAATAATAATAATGTATGCATTTAGCAGACGCTTTTATCCAAAGCGACTTACAGTGCATTCAGGCTATACATTTTTTACCAGTATGTAAAAATGTAATTTATTGTAATTAAATTGTAATAATTTAAAATGTAATTTATTGCTCTGATCAAAGCTGAATTTTATTCCAGTCTTCAGTGTGATCCTTCAGAAATCATTCTAATATGCTGATTTACTGCTCAAGAAACATTTATGATTTTTCAGCATTCTTTGGTGAATAAAAAGTTTAAAAAACAGCATTTATTTTGCAATAATACTTTAATTTTTGAACTTTTAATGTGTAAAAAAAAAATCAATTTAATGTAATTTTAGGAAAATCCCAGAAGTACAAAAGCAGTGTTATTTAGTATCACTGATATACTAATAAAGTTTTAATATTTTTAATTAGATTTTATTTTTAGTTTGATTATTATTAGTTTTTAATATTTCTATACAGTTTTATTAGTTTTTAAATGGTTTAGGTAAATGTTTCCTAACTAGAAATAAATGATTTTTGTTTCAAGTAATGAATGTTTTTTTATGGTTTAAAGTTTTAGTTCTAGTTTCATTTAGACAAATTGTAATATAGGGATGCACCAATGTATCAAACAATTAATTATGCATAACACAATTTAAAAATAGCTCTATTTGGGGATCTATTTGACCCTCTGAATCACTCGTAGTTCATGTCAGGGTTGCCAGATCCGTGGTTTTCCCTTCACCAAACATTATTTACACCGCACTCCCCCATCCAATAATCGCAGAAGCTTTGTTACTTTTAATGAGAAACAAAATCTCAGCTCTCAAATTCTGTCCATTTTGTCACAAAATTCAAACAATAAATGTGTTTTTTATGCGTTTTGTGTTTTTGATTTGTTGTGACAGATCGCTGTAGCAACTGTAGTTCAAGCGGCATGTGCATCGATAATCTCTTTCTGTTTACTACTAGTTACAGCACGAAATAAACATGAAGGAACACCAGAAGTTGTTGAAAGAAAAAAATTGATCACGTCTCATGTAATTGATCATTCAGTGTTTCAACCACCAAAAGACGTCAAATAAATCAGCTTGTGAAAATGTAACGTTGCATTTAGCCTACCTCAGGAAAGTTATCCAGTGCTCACACTTTGTTAGTTAACAATAACACTAGAGGGTGCTTATTTACTGTTAATTATATATGTATCTTTGAACAAATCTGACATGAAGACAATCTTTTATGATGTGCAACTGAGTTTTAGACAAATGTTTCAGTTTTTGTTTGAGCGTGATCATTATATCCGTTTAGTATAATAGTTCATTTCTAATAGTCTAACTTCTAATATTATAGTGATATTCCAAACGAGAGGGTTCCGGTATAGTTTACAGCATTAGGGATAGTTAACCCAAAAATGAAATTACCCCATGATTTCCTCACCCTCACCTCCTAGGTGTATATGACTTTCTTCTTTCAGACAAATACAATCGAAGTTATATTAAAAAAATGTGCTGACTCTTCCAAGCTGTATAATGGCAGTGAATGGCTGTTGAGATTTTGAAGTCCAATAAAAGCTCATAAATCCATAATAAAAGTGCTCCACATGGCTCCAGGGGGGTTAATAAAGGGAATCAATGCGTTTTTGTAAGAAAAATATTCACATTTAAAACTTTATAAACTGTAATCTCTAGCTTCCATTAACTGTTGTACGCGTGTTCACGAGACAGTGGCGTTCCAGCGGATGACGTTGGATGTAGGCGTAGTGTAAGAATATGCTAGTCTTGCAAGAGCCAATTTTTTTGTTAACAGCAAAGGAAAACCAGTCTCCTCTTGGCTTATATTGAAATCCTCCAATATTTTTCTTTACAAATCCTCGTTTTGCACGGTGTTTTGTTTTGCTCTCTATGTCATCCGCTGGAACGCCACTCTATCAAGTACACACATACGACAGTTAGCGGAAGCTAGAAATAATGGTTTATAAAGTTTTAAATATGGACATTTTTATTAAACAAACGCATCAATTCGCTTCAGGAGGCCTTTATTAACCCCCAGGAGCCATGTGAAGCACTTTTTTATGATGGATGGACGCACTTCATTGGACTTCAGAATATCAACACCCATTCACTGCCATTATAAATCTTGGAAGATCCAGGACATTGTTTTAATATAACCTACACTTTAAAGGGGTCATATGATGCTGCTAAAAAGAACATTATTTTGTGTATAAATGCTTGAGGGTGAGTAAATCATGTGGTCATTTTCATTTTTGGGTGAACTACCCCTTTAAGCAAATCCAAATGATTGGTATCGGCAGATGTCCTTCTGAATAAGCGGTTATATCAGTATCGAAAGAGAAATTTATCAGTGGCGCATGCATTCCTAATGATAACCCTGTATGTTTTTGATATGATAATGACTGTCGAGTCTATCAGACTCTCGATGATTTTCTCCAGATCTGTACCTCTGAGAAACCAGTCATTCCAAATGTCAAACACTTCAGTAACGAAATTGCCCAATTCAATGACACAAGCCCACAAAACTCCCTCCACGGCTCCTTTCGGCTCACGGAGCAAGCTTAATCAAGAAACATCTCCTGCAGGCAGAAAAAAATCCCAGATCTTTAAATATCCTCTGTCATGCGGCTCCCCGCGAGTGACAAACATTGGCAGGCCTGCGAGGATCCAGACAGGAGGGCTGTTTATTCCCATTCATCTCCAAACAAGACACCTCACGCTCTGCGCTGGAGATATGAGTGTTGGCCATCCTTTAATGTCATTTTCTTAATTAGGATCAGCGGTGTTACTTCATTTAAAGAGTGCTGTCTCACCGCCGCCGCCGCGCTGACAGACGATGATGGACACAGAAGGATGTAAATGCGAGGCAGATTGGCTCCCTCAGGCTGAACACATGAAATAT